TCACCCAGAAAAGATCCTAAGGATATACACACCACAGCCAGGTTCAGTGTATGGCTCTATTTTTGTGAGTGTGCTTTATAGAGATCCATGTATGTGTATGTTTTAATAAGGATAATCTGCCCTACCGTGTACCCCTCTATCTTTGTTTCAGCATTGCTGGTTGTACTAAGAAGAGAGGGATGTATATTCTTTGCTCCACCTTGTGTGGTGTGTACTATATGCCTTAATCACCAACATGAGAATTGTTAGGAAATCTATTTTTATAATCTTTATTTTTGCTGTGCCAAAAGTTTACAACAGGCCTGTAATAACACTATAGCGAATGCAGGCAATGCAAAGCATACTCCATTGTGACATGGATTAAAACTGCACAAATGCTTGTAAAATAAACATGGGCATGCAAAATAAGTCAGTGGATATGTAAGTATAAGCAGTAATGAAATCAGGCAATGTAGATGATATTTTGTTTAGGCAAAATAATATAGTATAATATTATGTTAGGTCTAAGGATGGGAAAAAAACTAAGAGAGGACAACCAGGTGTAAATCACTGTTACTCTGTCATTGTTACCATGGCTATAAGAAATGAGTAATTGAGCATTACCTTCATGGCACTATATAGCATGGATAGTTGGAGTGTTAACGGTCAGGTTGTATATGTAGCAAAACAAAAACCAAAATGAGGGTAAAATAACGAAGATAAAACCAATTAAAGCCAGGCCCTAGAAATTAGATTTTTACAGAACTCTGGGCATTACTCAGGGATCATCAAACACCACATGCAGGCCAATATAGAGAGGTAGTCCCAATGCCAATTCTTATCGGGAATCCCAGTCTCATTCCAGTGCTTCTGTATAGACTGTGTTGAATATTCTGCAGCCGACAGCATGTAGGTCTGCACTGCCATAGTAGCACGGGTCTTCGGCCTGAGGCCTTAATGGGAGCCCTTGCTGTTTTTTCCATTGATCCCCTCATCAGGATCATGGGCCGACATGGTTAGGAACTTAGCCTCCATTGCTTCACAAACAACTCAGTCTGTGCGTAAGCCATTTTCCCTTGCCATGAGGACTTGCTGTAGCTGAGCAGGTAACAGTAGTGCTAGGAATGCTTAGTGCTTAGTGGGGGATATCCCGGTCAGTGGTGACCGGGATATCCCCCACCGGTCCAGAGGGGGGAATACAGAGCAGCTGCTTCACACCTGGAGCACCAAGCTGGGAGATTGGCCATTTCTCCCCTCCGTGGAGCATGCCAGGCGAGTAGGCCTCAGTAGCTTTGACAGGCCGCAAGCTAGAAAGTGTGGCTCCAGAGTAGAACCAAATGGCTCCCCAACTGTCAGAGTCAGGTTAGCTGTCGCTTGGGTAGGTTTGTGGGATGCTACTTCGCTTTAAAGTTATGGGTTACTCGAATTGTGTGGGGAGCTCACATTAAACACAGCTCTCGGCCATGATGGTCAGGCCCTGCCCCCTGGGAAATAAAAATTTAAGGCCAAAATGAAAACAGATTTGACTGAAGATCTTTTTCTAAATTCGTTATTTGGACTTAAATTTTGAAATTCACTTTTAAAATATAAAAAATGTAATTTAGTTCTGGACATTTGCACAGTATTAATGCTTTATTAAATCAAAATATGAGAATGCCAGAACATAGATCAGAATCACAGAAGGCAGCGTCTACCTGTCCTTAGAATGGCTGGGCTAATTTTAGACAGAGAGAATAATCAAAACCAGTAACAAGCCCTCTGGATGTATCCTGTGGTATCTGGCACTGAGACATTAGCAACAGATCCTTTAAATTCTGCAACTTGTGAGGTAGGGCCTCCATGGATTGTATTTGTTGTTCCAGCACATCCCACAGATGCTAAATCTGATTGAGTTCTGAGGAATTTGGAGGCAACACCTTGAACACTGTCATATTAGTCAAACCATTCCTAAACAATTTTCTACTATGGCAGGATGCATTATCCTGCTTAAAGAGGCAACTGCTATCAGGGAACACCACTACCATGAAGTGGTGTACGTGGTCTGCAATAATTTCTAGGTAGGTGGTATGTGTCAAAATAATATCCACTTGAATGCCAGGATCCGAGGTTTCCCACCAGAACATTGACCAGAGCATAACACTGCCTCCATTGCCTACCTTCTTCCCATAGTGCATCCTGCTGCCATCTCTTGCTAAAGTAAACAACACACAAGCACCCTGCCATCCACTTTATCTAAAAGATCAACGTTATTTATCAAACCAGGCAACTTTCTTCCGTTGCTCCATGGTCCAGTTCTGATGCTTACATCCACATTAAATGCACTTTGAGCAGTGGACAGGGGTCCTTTTTAAATTGGCCAGCATTACGTTTTTCAGCAATTTAAACTACAGTAGCTCTTCTGTGTGATCGGGCCAGATGGGCTAGCCTTTGCTCCTCACATGCATCAATAATCCTTGGGTGCCCATGACACCGGTTCACCAGTTGTCATTCCTTGCATGAATTTTCAAGGATTGGGATGTATTCAGCAGCAAGTTAACAGTCCGTTCTTGAATTTCATGTTGTGGAAGCAGAAAAATGAGGAAACGAGAAGATCGGAGTGACTTTGACACGGGCCAAATAGTGATGTTTAGACAACCAAGTCAGAGCATCTCCAAAATGGCAGTGATGTCATGTGTTCACAGTATGCAGTGAATAGGAGGTACAATCCACTGCATACTGTGAACACATGACATCACTGCCATTTTGGAAATGCTCTGACTTGGTTGTCTAAACATCACTATTTGGCCAGTGTCAGTCACTCCAATCTTTTTGTTTCATTTTTCCTGCTTCCACAATATGAAATAAAGAACGGACTGTTCACTTGCTGCTGAATACATCCCAATCCTTGACATCTGATATTATAACAATATAATCAATGTTATTGATTTCACCTGTCAGTGGTTTTAATGTTGTGGATGATCATTGTATACACTTAATAAGCTTGTCCTGATTGGTCCACATCATCCCTGTGAGCCCCCCAAAAAATGGAAATGAGGTCTCAAGAATGAGTTCATCATGTACATTTAGAGGGACACCGTGAGCATGCAGCATTTCACACTCTTAGTTCTCATGAGAAACATGCTCTGCCTCGTGGAGGGCACAGAGAACCTCTTCCACTTGTAGAAGTCATGGCATACCAATCGACACACACAGTGGGCTGCACATATGACTGATTATGTTTATGCTTTTGGAAGTATGAAAAACGTGATAGAGTGAAGATATAAGTATTTTTTGCAATTTTCCCACCAAGCATTACAAACCAAGGCATTTTGTTGCATGATAGTGTAGTAGATGCATATGTCTAGTACAGGGCTGCCAAACAGATAGATCCCCAGATTACAACCCCCCATGACTACAACTCCCATGATGCATTCTAAAGGCATGCAAAGCATCAAAGGATTTGTAGTTCTACAACATCTGGGGATCTACATGTTGGGCAGCCCTGGTCTAGTGTGTCCTTGCCTTTACACCTTCTGCCATAGACTGTTTTGATCCATTTTCAGTTATACACCAACATATGTATTGATTTATGTATCTTTGATGTTTTAATGCATGTTCACCAGCTCACCAAACAAGAAAGGTTTCTTTAAGTTGATGTGCATAAGTATCTCCTCGCACATCTATCCTTATTTCCCTAACATATATTTTCTTATCTAATTTTACATTTTTATCACACCCACCACATTTGTAGATCCTTGTTTTCTTTTCCATTCCACTATAATTGTCCTTGTTCTTTGATAACAAATTACAGTTTTAAAAAACAAATTCCCCCACCACCTAACATGACTCATTGGCAGCCCCATAAAAGGTTATGAGGTGCCTTGGGTATTCTTTGTTGAACTAAAAGGAATAGGAAATTTGCATTATCCCTGAGGGAAACTTTTTTTATTGTTCGCACAGATGTACAGTGAAAATGCAAATAATAAACTTTAAAGATACACTGGCTACAAAGGTGTTAAAGAACAAGCTGGTTGAAGCATAATTTACACCATTAGTTTACACAGTTACTGACAAAGGGGTTAGCATTGTATTATTTCACAGAGCATGACGGTGACTTCTGGTACCTGAGCCTTGAAGAAATGGAATTGTCATTGTTAAATCTAGTCTTGACACAAGAGGATATTAGTTTGTTATTTATTGCATAATGCGGTACTAACACAGAGTGCAATACAAAAGACTAAAATGGTAGCCAAAGGAAAACTAATTCAAACTACTGAACAAAACTTGTAACAATAACATATGTTCAATAAGCACTTTTATTACTAGTAGCAATACATATTTTTCACATATATATTACATCAGTAAATATGATCTAAATCATTTGCCTTTCAATTCTCATAAAGCAAAACAAAAAAAAATAAACTCAAAAGAAAGAATTAAAACATTAGAATGTTCACATGAAATAAGGCTGTTTTAGGTGTTTGTCGAGTAAACAGATCAGTTACCACAGTGAGATTTAGAGATAAATCTATAAAAGATAAAGTTCCCAGGTAAAAATCTCTTCAAGTATACTTTTCCAGCTGATGAAGCAACTCCATCAAGAACCGTAGGACTTTTCACAGTACCCCTAACACTGTATTAGTTTAACACAACTGTATTGCCTGTCTATGCAATGACCAGAGATAAGGCCTCCTCAAAGTGTAAATTAAAATAAGTGTGTTGCATTTGTACAATACCCCAATAAATAAGAAAAAGTATAAACCCTATAGAAAAGTATTTGCACCAAATGTGTTTGTATTCTTATTAAAAATAACAGTGGAACAAATTAGAACATGACAGAATTTTAAATTATGAAAAAAATTACAAAGGAATTGTAAATTTCCCCAAATGTGTACTTTTTCTTTTTTAGCTTGGCTAATTTGACTAATGGTAAAGTCTTAAAATCAGTGTTATGTGTTCCCTTTGACATGTGACTCAAATGGGAAAACATTTCAAGCCTTACATATTTTGTATTTTGTTGTTTGTGTGGGCAGAAAAGGTCTCTAAATTTTAACATTGTTAACCAGGAACTGCATTTTCTTCAATTTGCGTTTATTCTTTGGCAATGGTTTGTCATACAGACCATTTTTAAGGAGATGTTCCTTGCTGTGATGAACCTGAGCCCCATGTTGGAGCTGAAATGTGCACAGCGCTTGAAGTGGGCGAAGGATTGTCTGTTAAATACAATGTAAGAGAACAACATGTTTAAAAAGTAAATTAGCAAGGAGCCTTGAAAAATCAGTATTGAATTATATAGCTCTTTTTTCACCTGTATCTTACATATATAACATGTTGTGCTTCTCTAGTACAGAGGTTTTTACTGATTAAATAAATAGCATCTAATCCATTAGATCTATTCTAATTCCTTAGATAGCTAGGAGGTACACACTCACTCCAACGAACAAAGGTTAAATATTTTGTCAGAGAAATGTATGATCTAAACCAGGGGTAGGCAAACTTTAGTGTCACTGAGTCATAACAAGACTTTGAAGTCCCTTGGTGTGTAGGTTATATATATATATATATTTTTTATTAATGTGTGTATAGTTTGCTGTATTCTGCTTGTGTTATGTATGGATGTTTTGTAAGATTTCATTTGCCTGTATTTGTGCTATGTTATAGTGAATGTGAGTAGTTTGTGGTATTGTGTGTTACATAAGTGGACTGTGCATCATATTATGTGTGTGAATGTGGGATGTGTAAGTAGGGTGGCCTACTTGTGGGATTGTGTGTGGTGGTGTGTGTATGTATGTGTGGCTTCTTGTGAGTATGTGTGCTGGCAATAGGCTTGTGAAGTTGTGTTTGCGTCTGAGCTGTTTGTAGTATTTTTGTATATGGGAGACTTTTTGTGCAACTGTGTGTGTGTGTCTCAAAACACTTTCTTAGACAAAGACAATCAAAGACACTCACGCTGAAATACATTCCAGTCACACTTTTGGGATACACACACCGATACACACTGCCAGGCACTCCTCCAATGCACACTGTCAGGACACACACAGTTACAATTAACACACCTTATAATGAAACACATTTAGGCACAATGTAACCTTGTTATGCTTGTCTCTCATTCCTTCCAACCCCCATTCAATCTTACCAGCTGCAGAATAAATGGTCTAACAGCTAGTTCTTAGCTCCTATATTTTGATACTAGAGAGAAAACCTCCCCAACCGGTCGAACAGTAACAGATTTCCAATACTGTGGTATTAGCAAATATGATTTTTTTTTGTCTTATTAACTATAGTAGAAGTGCAAACAACTCCATTTGAGGAGATATTTTAATAGACGGGGCTATTTTTCAAAATCAATGTATGTACATTCAAAATGGATGAACTTGCTACAATGCGACAAAATATGAGCTACTTCACAATCTCTCCAGCATATGTTTAAGGGAACTTGGAAAAATTATTTTCAGTTTTTACCAAATTCTTTTCAATCAACAGAAATAACTCAAAGGCATCTAACATCTCTTGCATGTGTTTTGTAAATATGTAGGATTTGATTATTTTTTTTTTTTTTTTTTAAGAATTGTATTAAATACTAATTTCTAAATACTAGGTTTCTAATACCACATTAGTTGCAACCAATCCTGGTTGAAAAGACGTTTGAGCTAACATAAATGTGAGTTCATAACACAAATTGTATATACCTCGGGTTATTTATTATTACTTCTCTCGTTACTAAAACGAACTTGTTATCAATTATCTCTTGCACAAAAATCACACCAGGAATAGACTTGTATACCGACCTCTTGAATCTCAGTATTCTTTTCCATAACAGAAAGTGCAATTGCAGCACATTCCAAAGTTGAAAGACACATATTCGTAGGCTGAGTTCGGATCACATATTGACTTGAAATAGTGTTCTTTAACTGCACCTGTATTAGAAAAAAAAATTAAAATTATTTACCATTTCCAGAATTTACAAGAAAATATATTTAAAGAAGATCCGTCAGTCCTCTTGAAATTACACCATTGAAGAAAAAAAAAAACTGAATATCACCTTTAACTCCTGATAACTGTTTTCTCATGTAATGTTCCATTTTCTGTTAAATATTTTTTGAACATGAAACAATTGGTAAAGTGAAAAAGGTGATGTGTGATAAATAGGCGCTTAATATACATGAAGAAAAAATATACCAAGTTGCTACCACACTTCCTCCCCAACTCTACACACCAACAAGCACAACAACACAACAGCTATTTGGCAAACCAAGGCCAACACCAGTGGTAAAGTGGCGCACTAGATAAATACACTGACCCCTTAAAAAAATATGATGTTTATTCACAATAATAGGGAGTGTAGTAAAATAAAAATCTACAATCACAGAGAACAGAGCCTTACAAATCTCAAAGGCTCAAATCTTTCAGGTGAATGTGTTCTATGGTGACACTGTCCCCCACCAACTTGAGCAACTTTTACAGGTGAGCAATTTTCAACCTCTTAGTCCACTCTATTTAATATTAGACCTACTACATTAGATTATGTTTCAGACTCTACAAACATACAGTTGCAAGAAAAAGTATGTGAACCCTTTGCAATAATATGGATTTCTGCACAAATTGGTCATAAAATGTGATCTGATCATCATCTAAGTCACAACAATAGACAATCACAGTCTGCTTAAACTAATAACACACAAAGAATGAAATGTTGCCATGTTTGTATTGAACACACCATGTAAACATTCACAGTACAGGTGGAAAAAGTATGTGAACCCTTGGATTTAATAACTGGTTGAACCTCTTTTGGCAGCAATAACTTCAACCAAACGTTTCCTGTAGTTGCAGATCAGACGTGCACAACGGTCAGGAGTAATTCTTGACCATTCCTCTTTACAGAACTGTTTCAGTTCAGCAATATTCTTGGGATGTCTGGTGTGAATTGCTTTCTTGAGGTCATGCCACAGCATCTCAATCGGGTTGAGGTCAGGACTCTTACTGGGCCACTTCAGAAGGCGTATTTTCTTCTGTTTAAGCCATTCTGTTGTTGATTTAATTCTATTCTTTGGGTCATTGTCCTGTTGCAACCCCCATCTTCTGTTGAGCTTCAGCTGGTAGACAGATGGCCTTAAGTTCTTCTGCAAAATGTCTTGATGAACTTGGGAATTAATTTTTCCTTCGATGATAGCTAGTCCAGGCCCTGACACAGCAAAGCAGCCCCAAACCATAATGCCCCCACCACCATACTTCACAGTTGGGATGAGGTTTTGATGTTGGTGTGCTGTGCCTTTTTTTCGCCACATATAGTGTTGTGTGTTTCTTCCAAACAACTCAACTTTGGTTTCATCTGTCCACAGAATATTTTGCCAGTACTGCTGTGGAACATCCAGGTGCTCTTGTGCAAACTGTAAACGTGCAGCAATGTTTTGTTTGGACAGCAGTGGCTTCCTCTGTGGTATCCTCCCATGAAATCCATTCTTGTTTAGTGTTTTACGTATTGTAGATTCGCTAACAGGGATGTTAGCATTTGCCAGTGACTTTTGTAAGTCTTTAGCTGACACTCTAGGATTCTTCTTCACCTCATTGAGCAGTCTGCACTGTGCTCTTGCAGTCATCTTTACAGGACGGCCACTCCTAGGGAGAGTAGCAGCAGTGCTGAACTTTCTCCATTTATAGACAATTTGTCTTACCGTGGACTGATGAACAGCAAGGCTTTTGGAGATACTTTTATAACCCTTTCCAGCTTTATGCAAGTCAACAATTCTTAATCGTAGGTCTTCTGAGAGCTCTTTTGTGCGAGGCATCATTCACCTCAGGCAATGCTTCTTGTGAAAAGCAAACCCAGAAGTGGTGTGTGTTTTTTTTAGGGCAGGGCAGCTGTAACCAACACCTCCAATCTCATCTCATTGATTGGACTCCATTTGGCTGACATCTCACTCCAATTAGCTCTTGAAGATGTCTTAGTCTATGGGTTCACATACTATTTCCACCTGTACTGTGAATGTTTACATGGTGTGTTTAATAAAAACATGGCAACATTTCATTCTTTGTGTGTTATTAGTTTAAGCAGACTGTGATTGTCTATTGTTGTGACTTAGATGATGATCAGATCACATTTTATGACCAATTAGTGCAGAAATCCATATCACATTCCAAAGGGTTCACATACTTTTTCTTGCAACTGTATCTTTGTTAAATATCTGGGATAAGGAAAATTGTAAAAATCCCGGGAAGTGGTACTTCTTTAAACAACAAAGCAAATGAAAAATTGATTATGTGATTAATTCAAATTTAAAGGGTATTATAGTGCTAGGAATACAAACCTGTAGTCCTGGAAATATAGCTCACAGCCTCCCATCTATCTTGCCACCCACCATGCCCCTCCCTCCCACAAACAAAGGTTAAAAATTGTTTAATTTACTTAACTGATCCAAATGCCGATGTATCTCAGCATTGGGTCAGTGCTTCACCTCCTTTGACGTCATTCAACATGGGGCAGTAATGTGTGACGAGCGCCACAAGCACATTAGGCCCTACCCATAGGAAAGCATTGTCACAATGCTTTCCTATGGGGATTTAATTGACGCCGGATGTCCTCATGTTACATGACCTTAAGTCACCTAGCAAGCAGTCTTAGAGGCTGTCTTAGTGATGCTAATGGAGACCAAAAGAACACCTCTTATATGGAAAAAAGTAAACACTCTGGTAGCAGAAAAAAGGGGGGGTAACTCCTAAACTTTGAACAACAAGTATGAAAAAACAAAAGAAAACATCTACCAAAAATGTATTCCTTAGAGAGCATACTACTACTTAACTTTTAATAAATATATAGAGTATAATGAAATATATGCAAAAGTTACAAAAATAAATAAAAATAAAAACAAAATGGAAGGTACAGTTCTCTCTATTGAGGCAAATAAACAGCATAAATATAATAATAGGATCCTAGAGGTGATCAAAGTACTATGCTGTCCTAGTTATTAACGGCTTCAAGAGTATGGACAGAAGGGGAATAATGTCCCAAAAAGTATATCTCCTTTCAAGAGTCTAATGTGCCTTTGATGGCGACCCTTAAAAAATCCTACTCTATTATACTGCCTCCCGCTGCAACTCCTATAGTCAAGGATTCAAACTGTAACCAACATCATACAAAGTAGTTAGAGGACTATGTGACAATGTAAAACAAGGAAGCTACTTTCTTGAATTGACGTCCATCTATAATCAATTTGTAGTAAATGCTAACACCAAGCTTGTATTATCAGCTATCTGTAGTGAGATTAGTAGTAGATGTTAACACCAAAAGTGGTACAACTGAGCCTCCTGAGCCCTGACTCGCGCGTTTTGCCAGAGTAGCTCATCAGAGGGGAGATGAAACGCAAAATGTGTCAGGAGGCTCACTCGTTACACTTTTGGTGTTGACATCTACTATTAAGCTACAGATAGCCGATAATATGAGTTTGGTGTTCGCATTTACTACAAATCTGATCATAGATTATTATTATTGCCATTTATATAGCGCCAACAGATTCCGTAGTGCTTTACAATATTATGAGAGGAGGGATCTAACTATAAATAGGACAATTACAAGAAAACTTACAGGAACAATAGGTTGAAGAGAACCCTGCTCAAACAAGCTTACAGGAGGTGGGGAGTAAAACACAATAGGACAGGGAATAGCAATCAAAATAGGTGGTCATGAAGCAGAGCTGGAGGAGATAGAGTGCTGACCTTCAGGAGAGAGCAAGAGACAGGTATGTGAGGTAGAGGTTACTCTGGGAGGCCATATGCTTTTACTAAAAAGATGGGTTTTAAGGCACTTCTTAAACAATTGAAGACTAGGGAAGAGACTAATGGCGGTAGGCAGGCTGTTCCATAGGAAGGAAGCCGCCTGCGAGAAGTCCTGCAAATGTGAGTTCGCCGTATGGGTGAGAGTAGCGGACAGGAGAAGGTCACGGGCAGAGCAGAGAGACTGAAAAGGGGCATACCTATGGATCGGTGAAGAGTTATAAGAGGGGCTAGAATTGGTCAATACTTTATAGGTATGGGTTAGCATTTTGAATGGACTCCTACAGGATACAGGAAGCCAATGTAAAGACTGACAAAGGGGTGAAGTGTGAGAGGACTGACTAGAAAGGAAAATCAGTCTGGTGGAAGCATTCATTACAGACTGTAGCGGGGCAATACGTTTTTTGGGAAGACCAACTAGGAGAGGGTAACAATAATCCATGCGGGAAATTACTAGAGCATGGACAAGCTCTTTGGTACCATCTTGCATAAGAAAGGGGCGGATGTGGGCTATGTTTTTAAGGTGGAACCTAGAGGATTTGGTAACATGCTGGATGTGAGGCTCAACGGTGAGACTAGAATCAAATATGACACTATGACAGCGCACTTGCAAGGATGGACTGATGTGGATACCACTGACTTGAAGGGAGAGCAAAAGAAGATAATCCGTATTAGGAGGAGGAAAGACAAGGAGTTCAGTTTATGAGAGATTTAGTTTTAGAAAGCGGGAGGACATCCACTCAGAGATGGAGGAAAAGCAAGCAGTGACACATTGCAGGACGGCAGGGGAGAGGTCTGGGGAGGAGAGATATAGCTGGGTATCATCAGCGTACAGGTGGAAGTGGAATCCAAATGAGGCAATAAGTTTGCCAAGAGAGGCAGTGTAAAGAGAAAATAGAACTAGACCAAGGACAGAACCTTGGGGGACTCCAACAGAGACAGGATGAATGGAGGCAGTATGATTTGAAAAGGAGACACTGATCGAGCGTTGGGAGAAATAGGAGGAAAACCAAGAGAGGACAGTGTCACAAAGATCGAGTGATTGAAGAGTGTGAAGAAGGAGAGCATGATGTCAAAGGTAGCAGAGAGGTCAAGAAGTATTAGTATGGAGTAGTGGCTTTTGGATTTAGCTGCAATTAGGTCATTAGTA